CGGTGCTGGAGCAAAATGAGTATTTGTTGAATGAATGGTAAACAGGATATGGTCCATAGTTTTTAGAAAGTTCTATTCTAGTGCAGCTTCAAAACAAGGTTTTAATCTCCAGAATGAGCTATCTAGATATGGTCATCTCCTTAGTTCGCAGTTCCCACTACACCCTGACTGTGTCATTTCCTGGTTCACCGGCCAGCAACAAGCTGTACTAGTCACATACTGGCATAGTCAGTCACTACTTTCAACTCCTAGAATCCAAATGAAGTCTGTATCCACGTCATTCCTGTGTTGTTGCTGAAAATTGACAACTTGTTTGCTTATGTGAGTTGCCGAAAGTCAAATGATTAGCAAGAGCCCTGTATGATCTTACGTTTTCTGATTGCTCCGTGCACTCTATTTCCCCCAAAATTTGGCATCTGCTCCTGGTAATAGTGGAGTACTTGTACTTTCCCTGGGGAATTTGACTAGAAAGATATGCAGTCGCGTCCCTGTAGTCTAGAGCGGTCCCCGCACCTCCGACCTGGGTGGCAAGCGCCCCCTAGGGGTTATCATGGAGGACGGCAGCCACGTTTCATTTCCTGCTGGGAAAGAAATAAGAAGTGGAGGTGGACAGGGGAACTCGCTATCGTGGCCACCGCGAACCCCGGGCACTTTGGAGTGCGTGTCCCAGGATTACCAGAACGAGAGGGTATTCTTCCCGCTCCTGCCCTTGGTTTCTGAGCAGCGGGGGCAGCACCCAGAAGGGGACCATGAAGCTGCAGCACTGGCATCTGAGTCAGGAAGAATCTGGGGAGAACTGGGGTTAGGAGACCTGACGTCTGGCGTCGAGAGTTTGAACCCTGGCTCTGTGATCTCTTAGCCTCGACTTCCCCTCCGTGACGCGGAGATGATGACAGCTACCCTGTGAGACGGCGGGAGGGCAGCTCTGGGACTGGGGTTGAGGGTTCCCACTGAGGTTGGGGGTTCGCAGAAGGGTGCTCGTGCCTCACAGGTCTGGCAAACTTTGCACCCTCAGTGAGCTGGGGTCCTGGAGATGAGGGGTACCCGTAAACTTTAGTATCTTCATTAGTATGAACCAAGTACTTATAGTACTTTATCACAACCCCAAAAATAAATGAGAATTCTAGGCATTGCTTTGAGCTATTATTCATTAAAATTAGTTTTGTTAAGTGCTGCCGAGTCGGGTTCCAACTCATAGCGGCCCTGTATAGGGTTTTCAAGGAGAGGCTGGTGAATTTGAACCGCTGACCTTGCAATTCAAACCGACCTTGAAGTCCAGCGCATTAACCCACAGAGCCACACCATTTGGGCTCAAAAATGAATCAGGTTACAAATCATTTCCATGATCACGTTATTCTTTTCTTATGTTTTAGGGGATAATTTGATCCCTAAGAAAAACCAATCCTTTTATTAAGACTGTTTCTTATCTGGTCAGGTTTTAGGTAGACTGGGGAAATATATTTGCATTTCATCAACAGTTTTTTGTTGTTGTTGTTGTTGTTAGGTGCCCTGGAGTCTGGTCCAACTCATAGCAACCCTATGCCCAATAGAAGGAAACTATTGGGTCCTTATGCCATCCTCCAATTGCTTATTTTAAGGCAATTCTATCTGTTTAATCCCTGGCTTCATTCCAAACAGAACTGAAAGTAGTGCCAACGAGCTTTTCTTGCCCACTGATGTGTGCCAGGCACAGTGCCTGGCATGGGGGTGGAGAGGTGGAACAGGTGAGGGGTGGGCTACCTGGGTGAGGCCATGTGTTGGATTTGGGAGGACTTCCTGGGGTTACTCTGGTTACCTACCCTGCTGGGTTGGACTGTGTGGTCGGTGGAGCCACAGTGCTTCCTGGTCCATGGAGGCCCAGCTCCCACATTTTACCTTAGGTCGCAAGACTGAGGTCCACCTCTTACAGCCTCACAAATATTTCAGTCTCATAAAAAGAAGCGACCAGGAAGAAGACAATCTGTAGGAAAGACCAGAATGGGAGGATGCTGCCAAATGCCAATTTATTACCTTAATTTCCGGACCAAAATGGATCTTTGATGTATGTGACTTTTCCTCTGCTCCCACCACAAATGCTTATGCATGGCCTCCCTGGAAAAGAAATGGGAGGGCCTCTCAGTCCCTGGTCCTGATGGATAGCATTCTAACGAGGCTTTAGAATGGACACTGATAATTGCCTTTCTTGTACCTTCTATACTCCTTGATGAAAGTTGGAGACCTTTCTGAGCACTGCAGTGTGTTTTCACAAGGTGTTAGCTACTCAGTTTCTACAGAGTTGTGGCTGGACCAGGGGTGGGTTTGGAGGCTAGAAATGGAGTTGTTGTTGTAAAGTGCTGTTGAGTTGGTTCTGACCCATAATGACCCTGTATAGGGTTTCCGAGGAGCAGCTGGTGAGCTTGAACCACTGACCTTGCAGTTCAAACGGCTTTGCAGTCTGGCGCATTAACCCACAGTGCACTTTCCTGGTGCTCAATCAACCATGATGTGAATAAAACATAGGGAGCGATGCCTTCCTCTTCCCAACACCTTCCTTAAGGGTCCCGGTCTGTGATGAGCATGAAGCACTTGCTCCTTTTCCTGCAGTCCAATTCATGAACAAACGAAGACATGCAAATGCTCAATAAACACATGAGAACATGGTCCACCTCATTAGTAGCTAGAAAAAAATTAAGACAAGCAATGAAATATTGAATCATTTGACAATGTACAATGTGTATAATCCAGGAATTCTGATTCTAGGGTTATATCCTAAGAAAATAGTTGGACACATGTGCACAGATAAATGTGTAAGGATATTTTTGAATCGCTGATGATACTAGAAGTCTGTTAGTAGGGGATCAATTAACATACTTTGCAGCATCCCTAGACTAGGATATCATAGAAATTAAAGGGTGAGCAGCTCTGGTAGCGTAGTGGTTACGAATCGGGCTGTGAACTACAAGGTCAGCAGTTCGAAACTACCAGCTGTTCCGTGGGAGAAAGATAAGGCAGTCTGCTCCCGTAAAGATTTACAGCCTCGGAAACCCTGTGCAGGGTCGCTATGAGTCGGAACTGACTCATAACAACATAACAACAACAACAACAGCCCTACCTGAGGTTGTTTCTTATGTGTTTCACCAATACCCATATGGTCCTGGTCTCATCTCAACCCGTGTCACCCTGGATCCTTAGGACCAAACCCCTGAGGTCCCCTATTATGAGGGTCCAAGAGAAGTACTAAGATGGCAGAGAGGCTGGACTGAGCCCTGGGAGCAAACAGAGCCTTGAGCCTCCAACAGGAGCAGCATGCTGTGTGACGTCTATTCAGAGAACTGTCTCTAATCTGGGGCAGCTTTCAGTGGATCCTGGTGTGGTGCCTACCCTTACTGGGTCTAGCTGAACATCCTGGCAGTGAGATGAAAAATCATTTCCACCCAGTGGTGTGCATGGCAAGGGAAGCCCAACTCTTGGGTTTTGTAGTAATGCTGTTGTTTTGGGGAGCTCACCCCCACCCCCCATTTCTCTGGTAGCATTGCCAGTCTCCCTGTCTCCTACTTCCAAGCTTTGTGGTTCAGGCGAGGCTGGCTCTGCACCCTGCTGTCCAGGGGTGTGGTAGTCCCCAGGACTTCTGGCCAGCATTATTGAGGAGTCTTCTTGGTTCACAGAGGTAACATGTAAGCTGGGCCCACTTCTGTCACTGTGGAGGGTGTAGTACAAACGTGCAGGCAGGATGTGTAACGCCACAAGGGAAAGTGCAGGAACTAGTGCAGGACCAGGAGAGGAGCGGAATCTGGGCCCTGGAGGGAGAGGAGTTGCCTTGTGGTTTTCTGAGATCAGGTAGCGGGAGCTGGTAATGAAGGCCGAGTGGGAGTGGGAAGAGATGAGGTGCCAGCCTGGAGGCTTTTATTCTAAATGGCCATTGAATAAAGCGTCAGGGAAGGGTTTTAATCAAGAGTGAATGGTCTGACGTACCTTTTCCAAAGAAAACTTGATCCAGGGTGGAGAACTAGATTGTGTGTCAGGACAAAGGTAGAAGCAGTGAAGCACTTAGAAAGCGGTTGTGTAGGAAGGAGATGGTGGTGGCCTAGTCAGGGGCAGAAGTGCTAGGGCTCCGACAAACACGCAGACACAAGGTGGTGGAAGGGAGTGAAAAGTGGTATGGTTTAGGTTACTCCGCTTCTCAGAGTCGGGACTTTCTCATCCTAATGGGAATCATTACCCACCTCACAAGTCTGACTAGTTGTTGTTGTTGTTATGTGCTGTCGAGTCGGTTCCGACCCATAGCGACCCTGCACAGGGTTTCCGAGGGTGTAAATCTTTACGGGAGTAGAATGCCTCATCTTTCTCCCGCGGAGCAGCTGGTAGTTTCGAACCGCTGACCTTAAGGTTCGCAGCCCGATTCGTAACCACTACGCTACCATTAAAAGCATTGTTTTTTTTTTTTAAAGTAGCAATTGGTTTGTGTTTACTAGTAGAACCCTCGCAGACAAGCTGCTCTTATTGTCTTGTTAAGAAAGCATGTCATATGTCTGAGATCCAAGTAGGAAATGTGGAGCCAGGATTTCTCTAGCTGCCACTGGATCCTAACTTTTCAGGACCTAAAACTGTAGTAACCATAATAGTGACACTTCCCTGGTTGGTGAATTCCTTGGAGGATTCAAGAAGAGACCTGGCACTTAGTAGGTCCTTGTTCAATTGTTACTTAAACTATTATTATTATATTCTTTGTGTTTTCCTGAGTTTGCACCGGATTACAAAAGTCCCTTCAAGTGAGGGAAACTAACTGCGGGGGAATCCAAAGGTTGTCCCCGGCGAGGCCAGAGGGCATGCTTTAGAGACCTTGGCGTAAGCACTGGAGGGGTGGGGCCAGGACCGAGGGGCCGAGACAGGGGGCGGGGCTCGGGTCTCCTGCGCATGCTCACTGCTGTCCGTCCCGCCGCCGCCGCCCCCGCCCACTCACCGCTGGGCAGCTGCGGGCTGCGAGGGCACACAGCAGGGCCCGGCAGGGCAAGCGCACGGCCATGGCCCCGTGGCTGCAGCTCTGTTCTGTCTTCTTCACGGTCAATGCTTGCCTCAACGGCTCGCAGTTGGCCGTGGCCGCAGGCGGTTCGGGACGCGCTCGGGGCGCAGACACCTGCGGCTGGAGGGTAAGGCGAAGACGGGCGGGCTTCTAGATGTCTCCAAACTCGCCGGGGGCGCAGGGTGCAGCGCGCACAGGTGCTCCGGAGCTGCAGACTTCCGCCGACGTGCCTACTGTCCTTGGGGTTTGCCGTCGGGTCCGGGTCCAACTGCCCTTCCTCCTTCTTTCCTTCCCCGGGTGAGCGTCCGCCAGCCCCGGCCCCGGTGAAAGGGGCCGCCTGACCCCCGGCTTTGTGTTGCTAATGAGGCGCGGCTGTCTGCCCGGGTCTTGCTCTGGAGGGCGGGCGAGGAGGGGGAGGGTTCCCCAACCTTTTGTTCGCAGCCCGGCATTGGGGTCTGGGTAGCTGTCCTGATGGGGAATGCTTTGGAGCGGGATGGGATCTTCATTCGAAGACTCTGGGTTTGGGTAGGGATGCATTCCTCCGTTGTGATCGTAGTGTTACTTTTATCTGGAATTGTCTTACCTCGCTCCCAACCCTCCATCCCAAAATCCTGACTTTACTTAGAAGCTTCACTACCCTTTTCAGCCCTTGGTCTAGCGAATGGTCTGACGGACGACACTGTCCTCCCTTCAGTTTGAGTTGCGGATACTTTTCACGCTGCAAGGCGGCTTATTACCTCCGTCAGGGCGCCGAGATGAGTCTTGAGAGCTATGCAGACTTCCCCGACGCCGGGCCGTGTGCCTGGAGCCCAGAACCAAGAGCCCCTTTGATTCTGTCGGCGATAGAGGGTGGGGGGTGTTCGCTGATCCCCTGTTGGGTGCCTCCAGCAACTTGGACGACCTCAGGACCCGGAAACTCCATCCGTCAGTCACTCGCGTACCACAGAGGCGAGGTCGGGCACCGTGTCGGGCGCTTCAGGGCCTTTAGCCTTTGGGGGAAGACTCGGGCTAGATGCCGGATTTGCACTCAGACTGCCATAGACACTCTGCTCTGCTCTGCTCTGAGCCGCCGCAACCTGTTTCCTTATCTGGAAAATGGGAGGAAGTGGGAGGTTTTCTAGTTTTCCCAGCACTGATGTTCCAAGAGGTGGGTGTTGAATGGTGGTGGTGATGTGCTGTGGAGTCAGTTCTAACTTGTAGCGACCCCGTATAGGGTTTCCGAGGCTGCACATCTTTACTGGAGCAGAAAAACCTCATCTTTATCCCTCAGAACAGCTGGTAGTTTCGAACTGCTAACCTTGAGCTCCTGGATGTGGAGTAGTTAGCGTCAGTCATGCTAACCCACAATTTATGGGATGCTCTAAACAGCCTCAGCTCTGCGGAGGCCTTGGACATGCCTGTTCTTAGGAACACAGGCTGGTGTTTCTAATCCACTTGTTCAACATTCAGAGAGACACCAGGCAGAAAAGCAAGTATGAACCAGGCAGCTGGGATGGCTGTTGCTTTTAAAGTCTGCATGCCTTCAGGCTCAATAGCTGCACATGGGGACCCACTTCCCGGCACAGAACCTTAGGCTCTACCACTCTTTCCTATTTGAGTGAAACATCATATTGTCTTGCTTTATTTTAGTCAAACACCATTGCTCAAGATAAATTTCTTCGTCTTGTTAAATGTTTTGAATCTGGACTCAACGTTGGCTTTTAAATATCAGTAACACCATCACAGATGTTGTATTCTAAGTTTTCATGTGACTGGCCTAGGTGAATGCATCCAGTTTGCTGTTGCTCTGCAGTTGCCGTGGTGACTTCACATACTAGTGCTTAGAGTTTAAAAGTTTTTAAATGCTGTGAAAGTTTAATGGTAGTGCTCAGAAGGAGCTGAGTGGGTTTTGTTCTCTCCATCTACTGATCTGACCAAGAAATTTATCTTGAGTAATGGTGTTTGACCTACACTCACACTCCGCCCCCTGTGTCCCACAGTTACTGGTAACCCTGCCCCAGTCACTTGGCACTCTTACTGAGAACCTCCTATTTGGAGGTGAATCTTCTCAACAGCTCCTGCTTTCGTCCTGCCAATCCATTAAGTCGGGCTTCATCTCTTTCTTGGATGAGCATGGAGGCCTCCGGACCATCTCCCAGATTTTAGTCTCTTTCCAGCTCCACATGATCCTTCCTCCCTGAAACTGCCCTTTGGTGCATCTGATAAAGCTTCCTGCTTTCCTTGATCCAACTCCGCCATCCACCTTACCTAGCTTTCCAGCTTCAGTGCCTGTCCCTCCCACCTTGTCCCTTAACTCCTGAGGCTTCCAAAGCTTTACAAGTGCTTTTCTACTTTCTTTGTGCTTTTTTCTGCAAATGCTTTTTTCCTTTGCTTTCTTATGCAGTTCCTTGCACTGTGGGCCTTAGCGACTACATCGTTTCATCTGTATTTGTTCATATCTGTGTCTAGACTAGTTTTTTTTTTGTTGTTTTTTTTTTGCCAGGGAATGAACCTCATCTTGGTGGTCTCAGAGTCTGGAGTCCTGTAAATCTTAGCTGAACCCAGTTAGGCCTGGCAGCCTTCCTGCAACGTCCTCTATGAAGTGGTAGATTTTGAGAAGTGGGAGGACAGCTCAGAGCTCCAAGCTCCAGTTCCCTCCCCACACTGGGCCTTTGCACATAGTGTGTCTGCCTGTGCTCCGTTACCTATTCCCTTTAATATCTCTTCAGCCTCCTCTCTCAGTTCTAGCATCTCTTGCTATAGGAAGTCTTCTCTGCCCCCACTGCTGTGGTAGGCCAGGTCTCCCATATGTTGCTGGCCAGTAAGTACTGGTATACAGCAGCCTGGATGTTTGCCTCATGTCTGTGTGCTCCAGGAAGATAGAAACAGATGACTAAGAAATACTACTGTTTCCCCTAATGCCCTTATGCCATGACATCTGTTCTGACCTGTGGATTTTGATAGTGGAGTGGGTATGTATATGTCTGTGTGTGTATCCCAAGCTCTTAGCCTGTGCCTAGCACATAGTAGGTAGTCCACGGTTGTTAGCTTCAGCTCTGAGCTTGCATACAGTCCAGAGTTATAGCTATCTAAGCACAGAAGTATAAGGGCAGATTATGTGTAATACAAACGGGAGATGGCTTTCTGTGGGTCTGGGCCATACTCAGAAACTGGGAGGGGGCAGCTGGGTACAAAAGTGAAGAACTGAAGGAGCTTGGCTCTACAGACTATAGAGAAGCTGGGTGAATGATCTCCAGGGAATCCGTGTTCCAGACACCCTAGTCCAGGCTCAGCAGGAATGAGACTTTTCCCCCAGGACTTGCAGGGTGGTTACAGCCAGCCAGCCCTTTCAGACTCTGCTCCCAGATCTTCGGCTAAGACCCTTTGGGAGCAGTGCCTGGTTTAAGTGGTCAGGTTTCACAACCTCCTCATTATTACCAGGGCAATTAAGGCCGATACCATCTTGAACACTACTCAGTGTTTTAGAAATGAGGTGTGGGTGCACTTCCTCTTCTACTTAAAAGAAAAGAAAAGCTCTTTGGGCTGTTGCCAGGTGAAGTTGCTCTTTGTGTAATAAATAAATACTGTTTTCCCAAAGAAGCAACAATTTGTAAGACTTCTGGAGGGGCCAGTATTCTCAGTTGTTTTACTGAATCTTAGCACTTGCTTCTTGATAGTGGAATTGGTTTTGTTTATGACTTTAATTCTGTCAGTTACTTGGGGCTGAGGTTTTCTTCCTTGATCCCCTCTGGTCTTAGGTTTGAGATGCCTGTTTATGGAACAAAGAGTTGGGAAACTACTGCTATAGGTTTTTGTTTAATGACTTTTCCTGAATTGAGGTTGGAGGAGGCCATTTCTTGCCTCCCTACCTAAATGGGGTGCACCTTCTCTGTCTATTATCCTTGAAACACAAATCCTATCCCCTCAAAAAGTTGGCTCCTGCAGGAATTCAGGAAGCTGGGATGCTGGCATCATCTTTATAATGAAGTACAAGTTTCCCATTTAAGGCAAATCCGTCATCTCAAAAGGTAGGAAAGAATAGGGTGGTACTTGGAAAAAAAGAAGTTTCAGCTGGTTAAAATTTAGGTTCCTGATAAAAGTCCAATCCAAGAATTCTTCTTGGCTGGGGGCCCAGGCATGTTTATTTGATTCTGAATTGGAAACGTTTTCATTCACTTGCAGCTCAAGGCTCCTAAACCCGCATCTGGTCAGTCTGTCTTGTGGATATGTTGTCCATGTTACAGATGCCCTCGTGTCTCTTACGGAATTCTCCATGAAAAGTCACTCAGCCCTGATTGACACACATTGTTCAGAGAGATTTTTAATAAGGAATGCAGTGCTTTCTTGCAGCTGGCTTTACCTTGATTGGGAACTCGCCTGGCCTGGCTCCATCTTTCTTGAGCAGCTCTCCCTTCTGTCCCCACTCACATCCATCCACCCATTCAAGGAACCTCTGAGCCCCTGCTGTGCCTCGGGCATTGTGCTAGCTATTAACTGGGTGACACAGCTGTGTCATTAGGTGCCATCGAGTGGGTTCTGATTCAGCTGGATGATGGAGACCAGCCAGCAACTAGCCATGCTGAGCTTTTCCTTCCAAGCTCTATTTCTCAAACGAAGCCCAGTGACCTCCAGTGTTAGAATTGCCTTGGGAGCATGTTCAAAATGCAGATTCAAGGCCAATGGGTCCAGAGTGGGAGTAAGGTGGGGCCCAGGACTCAACATTTAAACAAATTCTTCATAGGGTTTTGCTGCTTTCTCAAGGATGGGACCCACTGCTTTAGGATGGAAGAAGGGGAAGAGAAGCCACATCTTAAACATTTAGAACCAGAGCTTGGCTTTAAATTACTAACTGGGTTTAGAGAAAAATATGAAGACTTTCTCAGAACTATGACCAATGAAAGGGATTGGACTGGGGGTGGGGTTAGAGAGCAGCTGGGCAGGCGCCCCTTGTTTGGGTGGGGTGTCTTGGACCTGGGATTGAAGAGGAAGCCTGGAGGAAGGGGACTTGTCACTTCACTGGGTTCCTCCCTAGAACAGCTGGGCTTGTCTGGAACACAGTCTCAGGAAGGAGTAGGGCAGGATCCAAACCAGATTCTCGGCAGTTCAGACCTATGGACAGCTTCCCTTGCAAAGGAAAAAAACTGCTAA